ATCGTGGGCGAGTTGTTGTTGCACGAGGTGGAACGGTTTGACCTGACCGGTGCTCACAAGACTCGTACCGCGCAATTGCCCTCAGAGCATTGCCGTGTCTGAGGCCGCAGCTGGCAGCGTCGTGTCCGAGATGAAAACAAACTTGTCATTGCCTGGGCCGCCGGTGGGGGTGCTGCAAATGCGGCAATGCGAGTGAAGCGTTCAAAGCGCGATGAGTCGATGAGGATCACACGGTGCCCTGGCCCTTCAGCTAGGGCTTCTCGCAAAAGCTCGTTCATCGCACTGACGAGGCCTCAGTCGGCAGAGGCGCATGCCAAGCGCCAACATGGGCAATCCAGAGCGCGCAGCCAAAGCAATATTCAGTCTCAACCGTCTCGACCAACTTGAACAGGGAATGGTTCCTGAGCAATACCGGGCATGTGGAGCTAGTGTTCAAGCCTCGGGGCATGCATGTTTTGGATGCCGCTTCTGTAGCATTCATTTGCTTTGCGCTTGGCGCAAGCATTGGGGCGCAGGCGCCAAGTCCTCTCTGCAACTTGTTGCATTTTTGCAATGCACCAGGACACGGAAGTCCGAGCCTGAAACAGAGCATGATGGCAGGATGCGGTTCAGAACAGCTCGGAGCAAAAAGGTAGCCGAAACGAGCAAGAGAGTCCTAAAGTGGCAACCCCGTGCGCCCTGGCCGCTAAAGAGGACGGCACCCGAGCAGAGTGACCGTATCAGTGACAGGAGCACGCTGACTAAACAACACGTCAGACCATCGCTTGCCGTTCCAGTGCAACATGTTCCCTGGCAACTTGACGTAGTAGTATGTTGGCAACGTCATTTTGCAGTCTTAGCTGAAGCTCCGATTGTTGTACTCATCTGTGTGTTTCCTACTGGGACGGCGGTTTTGCTAGAAAAGCCGCGGGCAATGTCTTGGCACGGTTTCTTTTGGGGATTGGTGGTTCTGGAACTGCTGCTCCTTTTCTGTTCCATGGACGTCCTATCCGGCGAGTCCGGGGATGGAGTGTTTGGGTGCGTGCCTTACTGCACTGGGCATGTCTGAGCAGGTTCGGAGGCACTCCTGTGTAGTTCCATGGCAGACTGAGACCACCCCCTGCATCACTGCGTTATCACCATGCATGACGATTGCAGCAGCGCTGTTGGGCTCATGCTTGCAGCTGACTGTGCATCCCAGCATTACCGCTGTTGTGCAGCGCATTGAATTTACGCGGGTGTTGGCTTTTCTGTCTCTCATCAATGGCTGATTAGTTATGGGTAGCATTTGAAGCTTGGAGGAGGTTCCGGCGTCGTTCTGGGACTAAATTTGCCGCATGGCCGATGAAAAAACGGTGTCGGCACAGAACGCCGAGTGCCTGAAGCTTCTGCCACACGAGGGCAGATTCATGTGAAGCGCCGGAAAGAGTCGCGGGCGTGCCTGATTTGTTGGCTTGGAAGAACTTCTCCCATACCTCCTTGTGAGGAAGCCGGTCCTAGGCTTCCGGTCACTTGGAATCTCAGTCAGGTTGGTCTAGCTTTGCCGGGACTCGTAGGCCATGAAAAGGAAGTTCAGCATCGGCGCAGACGACTTCAGTGATGTGTCGTTTGTCTGGCGAGTGCTTGCGGTCACAGGAGGCTCCTCCTTCGTCAAGGCTGAGGCCTGCGAGATCCCAAACGGGGCACGAACGAGGCAAGACGCAAGACGCCTCTAGCCCGGACTGATTGGAGTGGTTGCCCTGCACCTGGTGACAAGCTCCAAAGAACTTGCCCACTATCGTTGGGCAATGCTTTTACCAGAAGCAAATGACAAGCAGTGCGCTGCCTCGTCTGCATGTCGCACTTTTGCGGCATCAGCCACCTGCCGCACTCAATTCAAGCGCGAAAACATGGCATGTCCAAATTCAGAACCCATGCGTTTCTGGGAGGCTGGCACAAAGTGCCACGATCAAAGTCCATATTAATGCTTCGTTTGGCTTCATTACCTTGGCCCAAACCATCATCAATGGAATGCAAAGCAAAAATGTCTAAGTCTGCAGCCGATTAACGCATGGCCCGCGTCACATGCGCTTGAGCAAGCAGCAAAACACATCTTTCGTAGCAAACAAATTTGCCAAAGTGACTACATTCATGTCGCAGATCTGCCGCCTTCCAGTTTTAGTTGGAGACAAACAATCTACAGCGCACACTTTTCTCGGCAAGCGATAAATGGCCGCGACGCGGGCACTTGCCTGGTCGCCACGCGGCCCTCGCTACGCGTTGAGAAGAAGCTTGTTGCACATTGGGATTTGGACATGGGTCTGAATTTTAGTTAGGGATTGCCGAATGTATCTCGCGGTACATGCTGTGTAGTCTCATGTACTGAAGCAAACTCCCGATTGCCCATCCGAGAAGCATCGCCTCAAAGCAAACCTATCGGCCAGGATCTTCCACCCAAATTCCTGAGAGCAAACTCGCTGCGACCTTGCGTGTGAGAATCTCTGAGTTGTATTTCCAGTTCGCAACCAAGACATTCTTATAGAAAAACCAAGATTCTGCACTTTGGTCGGGGCGGGCTCCGAGATCGCCCATTCATACCACACCTGGCAATGAAACCTCTGAAGCATTGTCCACAATGTTCGCAACACATGACACACCCAATGCCTTGTGGGCATCATGCCGTCTCCACCAGTGGCTCCTAGCCAGCTTCGAATTTGCCTCAACACGCCCCAGTCCTACCATTCATTCGCCCGTGTCGCTCCTGACGACGCTGCCCTTCGTGAGGTATTGTGGATGATGAAGCGGGAAAAACATCGGAAACCAGCTGAACATGCCCACCTCGAGCGCAATTCTTGTGACAACAAGCAGATGGAAAGCTGATGGAAAGGCTGGCGCCGAGAAAGTCTCTGGGTGGATGGAGATTCGTTCTGTTCCATACAGCACCTAGGACACCCGAGATCGTACCATGGGTTGCAAATGCCATTGTCATTCAAATGGTAGCATGGGCTGCACAACCCGTGCAACTTGCAAGAGACTCCAAGTGACCAACGCAGTCGAAAAAGCCTGCAAAGCCATGGACCAGGGAGTCTACCTGTGGCATATTCAGCGGACAGCAACCATTAGCATGATGGCTTGCTGCAGGATGTAACAACTACTGTAGCAAGGAGGTTGATGACAAAGTGCCCAGCATCAGCAGAAGTGCATGCACGCTGCCTCGATCTCAAAATCCAAGTTGGCGCAGCGATCATTGCTTTTCCCCTCCCAGTTTGGATGCTGATAGTGGAAGCAGTCCTGCACTCGTGCTTACGAGATTGAAAAGCACGTTTAAAGCGCCAATGCCCGGAGATACGTGACATTGGTATCACCACACAGCCATAACAAGTCAAAAGCTGCGGTCAATTGAGAAGCGCGCACAACCATAGACCGTTGATTATTCTGAGATGGTTAGCAAAGCTTATGTTGGCCTGGGTATGATGCACATTAAACCAGGGAGTAACCTCTTAATCTGCTGGCAATTGGGCTTTGGACTCTGATCCAGCGTACTTCTGGTCATGACGCACACGAACGTCCTTGAATGCGCTGCAAGGAAAGAAGGCATGGTGCAAGTACACAACGTAGGCCGTCTGGCAAGCGAGGTGATCGAAGAAAATGCTGGTCAAGATTCATCAACGGGCAACCGACTATCAACCATGTAAGAAAGCTCTTAGTCAAATATATAAGGTTGGTAGGCGTCTTGGCAAACAGTAAGCAAAGACGTCCGGTGCACAAGCTTCAGTGACGACAAGAATGACAAAAGCGCGTCCCACAAGCTGAGCCTCCAAATCCGCCAATCCACCTCCTGCTGCACCCTGCCGCGCATCCGCCCATAGTCCCGGTGCTGAGACTGGTGTCAGCACAGCTGTGTAGCCTCATCTGAAGCTTCCCGACATTCTCCTTTTGACGAAGACTTGTTTGGCAAACTGCTGCAAAGCTGCTGGTGGGTATGCAAACTCCGTCAGCTGCTAGGAATCGCTGCCTGGTGCGGTTGAGCTCAGCGCCGGCATACGAACGCAACTTACAAATAGCCAGCATCACGCACCATCCAGGCACTCTGGGCCTTGGGATGCATCAAATACGAATGGCTTCAACCATTTGCATCTATCTTCATTGAGGAACAAAACAGGAATCAGGAAAGCCCGTCTCTGAAGTTTGCCTATACCCGGTGTTCCTCCTTGGCATTTGACAAGGCATCGACCAGTGCAACACACAGCTGCGAGTGTCTGTGCTGCCATGCTCCTGTTTCAGTGTTTCAATGGCAGCCAAAAGGATTAGGTTTTCCGCGTGACACTTCTTTAGACGTCAAACCCATTTGCTTCGCTTGAGTCCTTGCCTTGGCCATCGGGAACTAGCGATGCGCATCCTAGCATCCTCATGTCATATTTGGTCTCAGCTCGCAGGTAACGTCAGCTGTAGTGCGAATGGAGCCATGAGAAACATGCTGGCTCAAAAGCCAGCAATTGCGCGGGACCGTAACGAGGGGTTTAAAAGTGCACATACCCTGTGCCCTATGCCGGTCACCTGCTGGCCGTTGACCCATTGTTTTCGAGGGCTGGGGACTGTGGCAGTGCACTGTTTGTTGATGTTCACATTATCTTCGTATGGAATTAGATGTATCCTAATTGCACTGTCTATGCAGTATGCTCGACTACATTGTAGTGCAGCATTCGTGCTCCTATCACTTTAACCTGGTAGAGAATGATTGATATCGTATCCGTTTGAATGCTACATGTTTGTATAATTTATATTTCTGCGTGTGCTTACTTATGCCAAAGGTTGGCTGCTAAGGTATTCATAACCCTTTTATTTACTTTTAGACATACCTGTATTTGGAATGACTCCAGGCGCAAAAAAGTTCAAGTGATCTTGACAGCGACAAGTGCCTAGTCTGAAGAAACATACTAAGTGAGAGAGTTAGCTTTCCGGTGTCAGATTTTGACCTTGGTACGTAGTATTGGCATTTGTGAATGCGAGTGTATATCAAATGAGAATATATCAGGAAACCAACGTAAAGTTAGGGAAACATATATTCAAAATCAATTGTAGTGGCATTCAGTCTAGATGTACGGACAACTCACATATATAGTCGTATCACTGGATGAGCCCAGACCAAACCAAAACAACTTGAAAAAGCCAAACAAGCAAAACCTGAAAACAACATATCCTCAGACAGTCTTTCCACTGGATCAAACCAGCGCAACACCAAACGTAACTCTTGAGGAAAAAGTGAGATTCTCCCAGAACTCTTGGCACAGTGAGTGACTACTTCTTGAAGGAGTCTCTCAGGGTGCTTTATGAGCTTTGATTGTTTTTGGCTGTGTTGTTTGGTTTTTGGGTGTTGGCTTTTTCGAGGGTTCAAAGTTGCTTTTGTTTTTGGTTTTGGGCTGGGTGAGTCGGTGCAAAGACTGTCTCAGGATTGTTGCTTGGGTTTTATTGTCATGTTGGTTTTGGTTGCTTGGTTTTCTCAAGGCGATGCTTTGTTTAGACTCCTGTGTTTGTTGCCTTTTTTTACTGTGTATCTAGGAGGACGCGGAGGCACAGCAAGAGCTCGGAAAATACAGAACAGCAGACAATACCGCAAATTGATCAGTAACGTTGTCAAAAAGCACGGAAACATGCACTGGGCGGTGTCGATATATAATGTTCTATGTTCTGCTTTGTGCGTGCTACTCAAATTGTTTGCTTCAGTCCACTTTTGGCTTGCGCCAAATGTGTTGTCACGCTTCAACACTTTGCTACCAGTGGAAGTGGCAGCAGCCTACCATGGGCGTACCGGGCTGAGGGCTCTACTGAGCTCATTGTCACCAAAGGAACCCAGCAGCTCGCTCACAATGACCTGGCACACCCGCATGCAACACAGTTGGCACACAGCCAATCCATCACTTGGACCAGCTTCAGAAAGCTGTCAATTCATGAACAACTCTGCAAATCTGCATGACAACATATAGCTAAGCAGTCGGCATCAGCTTTTTTAGGCGCCGTCCAAGTGCGCATGTCACCCGGCATGACCTGGCAAAAAAAAAGAAGATCCTAATGCGCTCATCTTACTCTTGAAAACATTGCATATTTACAGAACAATCCATGCTTAGCAAGCGTCTTGGCAAGCAGCCACAAGTTGCACTTTTCTTCGTCGCTGCAGGCGCGCGGGTGGCTATGACAATGGTGTCAAAGACCGTGTGCATGCTGAATTCGCCTGCAGTGGAAGCTATCAGCCATCAACTCTGCCTCTCCAAACACATTCAACTGTCTGTGCGCTAGGGCCTGAAAGCGAGACGGTCTTTTTCTCACTTACAAGTCAAGGGTCGGGCCTTTGACCTGGACGCGGACCACCGGAGTGAGGCCGCAGTGCCTGGCTCGATTGGCGTTTTGCAATATGTCTCGGTTCTCCTTCCCACACTCCTCAAGTACCGTTTTCAAGCCATCCAAAACGCATGATCCAGGCTGCTTGCCGCAATCGCGGCACTTGCATGCTCAGAAGGCTGATTCTCAACAAGTCGCAGCTCCATGAAGGCATCAAAGCGACTCCGACAATGTGCAGTTCAGAATAACACAACACGGCGTGTGGGCGCTTGTAAACGAGGCAGGGCATCATGGGCGTTGCCCGGAATAGACAAGTCAGCACCCATGCCGATCATCCGAGGGCCTCCAGGGGCACATGTGCAAACAAGGCGCACAAAGAGGAAACCTACGAAGCAGCTCCCATCAGGGCTAAGTCTGTGAGTCAACCCTTTGCAGTGCTCTGCGAGATGAGTCAAGACATGTCAAAACCTGGCCTGCGGAAGCAGCTGGCATTTGCCGAGTGGCCTTGCAGACACACCCAAAAAAATGCTGCAGTCGCCAAACCCAAGCCACCGTTCAAGTTTCAGCAACTCACCCCAGGGATCCAGCATGACTAGGTACAGCAGCTTCTTCCAGCACTAGCTGCATGAGGTGCTCTGATCTGCCACAGATTGCCCAACGGCAGCGAAACAGTTTCAGACTCAACATGCTCAAGCGCTGATTGAACAAGGGTTTAGTTTTCAACATTGTCATCAAATAGCACCACAGGGTCCCCAATTAAACATCATACCCAAAGGAAGGAACGCTGCTCCAATTTCATGGCCGGGAAGACTGCTCCCGGATGGCCAACAGATCTGCTCGAAGCTTCTGCTGAGTCTGCTTTTCCCTCAGTAAGCTTGCGGCACCAACATACGCAGAAAAATGGAGCCAGCCCAATCATTAAGTGCGACTGCAAATCATCCTGAGGCGTTCTTTGGCAGTGCACAGGTCTAAAGGACCGCCAACAGCAAGTTCAAACAGCGCGCGCAGGTTGACATCTGCACGCATGTTACTGCTCAGCGGCCAAACATCAGCGGGGAAAGTTAGGCTGAACCAGCACAACCGCAACGCAGCATTAAAAAGAATAATGTTTGATCTGTGCATACATGATTCATTAGGGAGCCAAGCTGGGGAGGGTTGGAGGGCAGTCCTAAGCCATAGTCGGAGGATCAGGCGCTATTGGAGAAAGTTCAAGAGGATCAGGATTTCAACATATCCCAAATGGCTGTGACAGTACGCGATTGCACATGGTCACCAGACGTTTAACGGCTCTCGCGATTGACGCACATGCTTCATCGTGTCCTGGTTCGCATGTCATGTATATCATCCGGAGTGGGTGGGTGCGATGGTTGGCTTGTGCTGTCCCACATGTTGTGCCGCTGGTGCCATGATATGTTCACTGACCGCGTCACACGTTCATGTGCTGAGGTGGGTCAAAATCATTTAGGATCGCATGCTTTGTGAGGATCACGTTGGTGCATGAGGCACGTGCAGAGTCCACCCCCAAGTGTCAGCAAATGAGCAGAAAAACCTGACACTGTGTCTCTCTCCTTCTTTCTGCAGTGACTTCGTTCCCTCTTGTAGAAGTGTCGACATGGTGAAAAGCGTGTGTCGTGTCTGAGAGTTGCAGAATGTTAGTGGCTGGGAAACTGGCAGGGAAATTTGCTGGTCGCGCTCGGCCAAGAGTCGCCGCAAACGTTGCACCTGCAGTCATCTAAAGGAGGACTCTCACACTCCCACGAAAGGCCTCCAAACCTGCTATGCCACCCGAGTCCAGAACTGCACTCTCCGCCCTTGCTGCAGAACCTGCGTTTGCTTCATACTATGTGTATTATTCAACCTTTAAAACTTGCTGGTGCTCAGTAGGGAATGAGGGAATGAGCCCAGGCTTTGGTCCCCTTAAAGGAAACCACCAGTGAGATGAATTTTATTCGGGGCCATTCCATTTCTCATTCCCTACCTATCGCACCAGCAAGAAAAGCCAAGTCTCCAAGGCGTTTCAGCGAGGGCCTATGAGGTCGCCGCAGGTCATCAAAGACGACACCGCCCGCTCGAAGTTCTGCTCAAGCTCGGCTTGCTTGGCTCGCAGCTCCTGCACAAAGAGATTGCCCTCCGGTGGCCACGTCTTCAGCTGGGCACAGCAAAAATTAGAGTCACAGAAGTCCCAAACTGAGGAAATTGCGGAGAACAGATTGCATGAGCATTTCGGTCCTCAACTTCGCAGAACAAGTTCTCGAGCGAATTAAAGTCAAAGTTCCAAGCTGGAACACCTGACACAACTCAGACAGCTCTATCTCTGCGTGACTCGCTTTGCGTTTGATTCCTCTTACCCAAGTAATGGGCATATGGATATGCTTTTGCGGGGGGACCCCACAAAATGGTGGCTTTCCTTTTGGTTTCCCTTTAAAACCCACTACTAGACCACGGTTGGCCCGAAAGCATCACAGCCCCGTGACCATTCTGCGCAAGTTGCTCTGGGCAAGGTGCTTTGCGCAAACTGGTCTGCGCAAGTTGCTCTGCGCAAGTTGCTCCGTGCAAGTTGCTGCGTGCAAGTTGCTCCCTGCAAGTTGCCCTGTGCACGCTGCTCTGTGCAAGTTGCTCTGTGCAAGTTGCTGCGCGCAAGTTGCTCTGCGCAAGTTGCTTTGTGCAAGCTGCTCTGTGCAAGAAGCTCTGCGCAACTGACTCTGTGCAAATGTCTCTGTACAAGTTGCTCTGTGCAAGTTGTTGTGTGCAAGTTGCTCTGCGCAAGTTGCTCTGCGCAAGTTGCTCTGCGCAAGTTGTTCTGTCAAAGTTGCTCTGCGCAAATTGCTCTGTGCAAGCTGCTCTGTGCAAGTTGCTCTGCGCAAGTTGCTCTGCGCAAGTTGCTTTGTTCAAGTTGCTTTGCGCAAGAAGCTCTGTGCAACTGACTCTGTGCAAGCTGTTCTGTGCAAGTTGCTCTGCGCAAGTTGCTCTGCGCAAGTTGCTCTGCGCAAGAAGCTCTGTCAAAGTTGCTCTGCGCAAATTGCTCTGTGCAAGCTGCTCTGTGCAAGTTGCTCTGTGCAAGTTGCTCTGCGCAAGTTGCTCTGCGCAAGTTGCTCTGGGCAAGTTGCTCTGGGCAAGTTGCTCTGGGCAAGTTGCTCCGCGCAAGTTGCTCTGTGCAAGTTGGTCCCTGCAAGCGGCTCCCTGCAAGTTGCTCTGCGCAAGCTGCTCTGCGCAAGTTGCTCTGTGCAAGTTGCTCTGCGTAAGTTGTTCTGCGCAAGTTGCTCTAGGCAAGGCGCTCTGCGCAAATTGGTCTGCGCAAGTTGCTCTGCGCAAAAACGGTCTGTGCAAGTTGCTCTGCGCAAGTTGCTTTATGCAAGTTGCTCCGCGCAGCTTGCGAAGCCCGCCCGCGGACCAGGGGGGAATCGAACCAGCGACCCGCCGGTCCCGGGAGCAGGCGCGCGAACCACGAGACAACTCCCGAGGACCAGTTCGAACGACAAGTCTCGCAAAAAACCTCGAGGTTTTGCACCTCGACCATGCTGATCCCCGCAGAGGGTCGTGCGGGCCCAAACAAAATCGCAAAAAAAACTCGAGTTTTTGCACCTCGACCACGGGTCGCGTGGGCCCAAACAAAATCGCAAAAAACCTCGAGTTTTTGCACCTCGACCACGCCGATCCCCGCAGAGGATCGCGCGGGCCCAAACAAAATCGCAAAAAACCTCGAGTCTTTGCATCTCGACCACGCCAATCCCCGCAGAGGGTCGATTTTCGTAGAGTGTCGTCGGCACTACCCCGCCGCCCTAAGAAGAGATTTTAACTCCTCGCAAGTCAATTGCACTTGACATCATTGCAAGGAGTCATTGCAAGGAGTCACTGCAAGGAGTCATTGCAACGAGTCATTGCAAGGAGTCATTGCAAGGAGTCATGAGGGTCATTGCAAGTTGCAAGGAGCCAAGTGCATGGAGTCAAGTGCAAGTTGCAAGTGCACGGAGTCAAGTACAAGTTGCATGTGCAAGGGGTCAAGTGCAACTTGCAAGTGCACGGAGTCAAGTGCAAGTTGCAAGTGCACGGATCCTTGCAATGACTTTCATGATGATGATTCCTTGCAATGACACCTTGCAATGACTTTCATGATGATGATTCCTTGCAATGACTCCTTGCAATGACTCTCATGAGAACAACTCAAGTGAACCCAGCGGAAGAACCCTTCGCCGTGCTTTCGGGAAAAAACAGGATTTTCGCCATAAACATATGACACCAATCTACCATATGTGCCCTGAGCGAAGGCCAAGAAAGACGTGGGCAAGGCGCTGCACAGCAGCTCGTCACCCTCATGCAGCTGATCCTCTGCGTGAAGCTTGTGCAGGCGGTAAACCTGACACGAGACATCCGTGGCGCTCGGAATCGGTCTCCCAACATTGGGCCAGTTGCTCCATGCCGAAATTCTGGCTGGTGCGGATAGGTAGGGGATGCGGGAACCCCTAAAAATTAAGCCATCCAACTGGTGAGCCCTGACTTCATTCCCTCATTCCCTGCTGAGCACCAGCAAGTGGGAATGGAGTTCACCGAATTCCGTGATGTGGAAGCCATTCTCGAACTCCAAGATATATGAGAATGGCCACGTTGGGGCGCCTCAACGCCGCAGGTGTCTATGGCAGGATCCAGCCTCACAAGTGCGTGCTTTTGCGTTGCGTCGGGACTCGTGCTGTGCCACACGTGCCTAACTCTGTAGCCAGGCCTTGACAGGAACTCCATGGCCACATCACGTGACCTAGCCCATCTCATTGGACAAACAAGGCCATGAACAATTTCCGTCGCTGCCGCGCTGCCTGCATGATTGCAGTGCCTCTGGTGCAACCTGCAGCTGATTCTCAAGCAAGGTTCGGAGCATGGGCATGGAACACAGATGCCTCGAAGGCTCGAAGCGCACAGGAGACTCTCGCCATCAGGCACTCTGCTCGTCAGACTGTGATATGATTCGGATTTGGTCGTTGGTGCAAGTCCCAGTGCGAAGGCTTGCCGCGGAATTTGTTCTGCTTCGTTGCTGTGACTACCCTGTGTCGGCAAAAAGGCGCTTCGACAAGCGCAAAGCAGCATAGTCTATTTGGGCTACAGCAGGTGACACAACCCAAAATATGGTGCCGTCATGCCACCATCTCGCTGTTCGCCGAACATTTCAGCTGATGGTCTTCTATGCATGCTGACTTGAGCAGCTTGGCGCAAAAAGTATCAGGCAGCAGTTGGCTGGGAGTGTGGAGGCAACATCACTCGTTTGGTTTGCTGCCCTGCAGACAACTCCAATCCTGCCAATGGCCTCCACGCAGTCCCATCCATCGCGTCGCTTGCGGTGGCGCAGCGCATGGACCTGAAAGTAGGCTTCAAATGACAGCTCATTGTTTTTCTTCTTTCAATGGCTTGCGGCACTATCTGCCTGTTGCCGCAAAAGGCCAATCCCAGAAGTGCCAAAAAAGCGTTGCGTTCTAAGCCCTTGGCAGCATTCGGATTCTTTTCAACGGCATACAGCTGAACCTCCACCTGTCATACGGGCCGAGTCGCCTCGCCCACCAAACTTGCACCGACGGAATGGCCTCTGCTCGCTGGGCCGCTTTGAGGGCAGCTTCAACCAAGGGCCCTCTCCCAGCTCCAAGTACCATGACCTGCCACATCTGGCTGGCACTTCGGCCAGGGGGAGTGCCATGGATTGCATCCCTGGTACTTAAAAGACAAAGTTGTCCAAACCAGCGACGTTTGGACAACTTGCGACAATTTGCAGCAATCAGCAGGGCGGATGACATGACTTAAGCATTGCCAGGGGTGCAACAAACGGCGCTGCTCGCCCCTGTGCCAGACGGTCCTTGAGGAAGAGAAGGATTGCCTTGCGCAAACAAATGCATTGGGATGATTCGCATGCTCCGCATGAGGAAAAAGGCAATCGGTACATACAATCTGCACCCAATCTGTAAGGCTCAAACATCCTGGTATCTTGCCTCGGCATCACGAACAGGCAATTTCAGTGGACTAAAATGGCGGCAAGCGAGGACTGCACGTACTTGACCGGATCGGTCTCAAACAGCTCGTAGGTTTCAGACTGACAGCCAACATTCAGACCACAACCCACAGAGCTCTTGGTCAATACAAGAGGCTGCGCTCAAGCCTCCAAATTGTCGGCTAGCGGCTGGAGAGGAGCCTACGAGGGATGAAGCAACAGACAAATAGGCTACTGATGCGAAGACGTTCCCGCCTGCAGTGTGTCCATGTGCGAAAAACAAAACCGTTCTGCTTGTGAAAGTGGTGGGAGTGCCTGGAATGGGCGAGGATCGTGCGGCTGTCAAGTTATGCATCAGACCCGATCCTGAAAAAGGCGAGCCACGTAGGAAAGGCGAGCTTGCAGACCCTAGCCAATGACTTCTCATGTTCAATGTGGCGCTTTCCTTAGGAACCACTCAAAGTGTCCTCGTTCTCAGCGGTGGAGTCAGGCTCACAAAGTATCGCCTGCACCTCACGAAATGCCGCCGAAATGCGCAGCCGAGGTCTAGAAATGTGGGTCAAAAATAGGAAGGAAAAAAAGAAAAGAAAAAAGAAGAAAAACAAAACAAAAACAAAAAACAAATTTGGGGACTATGACCGGTGAACGAAACCAAGGACAAGCTGCACAACCTGCTCAATTCCTCATGCCACGAGCCTTGCGCCGGAAGAGCTGCTCCAGAAGCGCCTCTGCTCAACGATCTGCATGCTCCCCTCCCACGTCCAAAGACCCTTGCAAACACGAAGGTTTTTGCTCACAAGTGGGGAGCAGCGTGTGCTTCGGGTGCTGGTTGCTCACAAAACTAAGAAGTGGGCATGTGCCAAACAAGGAAGCAAGCAAGGGGAAGCAGGAGCAAAGTCAACGTAAGCAAGATCAAAGGCATTGCTAGTCAAAGTTCTGTTGCCAGCTTCTCCCTCAAATTTATTGGTTCCTAGCTTCCTTCTGAGTTCCGTGCTTTCGCCTTCTTGGGAAGTACAGGATAGCCAGACCTACATTGGGCGCATGATACTGATGCCATTAGAGCTCGGGGCAGCTGTCTTGCCCTGGACCAGGCCTGTTGAGCAAGAACGAGGAGGCCGACAAGATGACGAATCGCACGGGCTCGGCAAGCCTCGGCAGTTGCGTTCTTGATTGGACTCCACGGCAACATTTGGCGCCAGACCATCTGCGAAGCTCCTATGCAACAAACAATTCTCGCTGAGTCTCGAAAACGAACTTCAAGGCCATGCATTCGAATCATCCCTGACATTCGCCTGCTCACTTGTCTTATCCACAGTCAAGTCCAGGGCGACAGAGAGCCTGCACAAGCATGGTTCAGCTTTTCTTTTACTCGGCTAGCTCCAAGGCTCTGTCTGAGGAGGGTGGTCGCAATGAGTACGAAAAGAATTCCACCTGGGTGGCGCTTGACTTCAGATCCGCCGAGGAGCACGGGAAGGCTGGCAACAAATCATGATTACACGGATAGTTTATCGTAAGTTGCTCGTCGTCATCAAGCCCTGCTGGCGATGCTGGGGATGCGTAACCATCATCATCATCATCATCATCATCATCATCATCATCATCATCATCATCATCATCATCATCATCATCATCATCGCCATGTTGGGCCTCTCGGGTGACTCTGGAGTCATTATGATCATTATCATCACCAGCATCATCGTGATCATCGTCAGCATAATCATCAGCATCATCGTCAGATTGTCATCAGGGCCCGCTGGCATCCATGTTATGACTCTAGGATCCAACCCTTGATAAGGACATGAGATTTCACCCACCTACGTCTCATCCGAATTCTAGCCAAGAGATGCTGATTGTGAATCTCTAAGTTCCTGTCTTTTATGTTGTATCTTTTGGAGTGTTAACCATCCCAAGTGAAGGAAATGCTGGAGATGACAAGAGAAAGAAAAAGACATGTCATCTGATTCCATGTTTCTTTCCAGCTGGTATGCTGTACCTATCTGATCCATCTTTAGGTATCTTGCTGTCACTTCTTTAATATCGTATAAAGGATGGGGAAGGACAAAATGTAACGAAAATAGAATTTACGATGTTCCATGCTTCATATGATTGTCCCATTCAACACAAAAACAAAACAAAAAAACTATCATGATTGTATTGAAGGTTGCGAGAATATGTTTCCATATGTTTGATTACATGTCTATATATATATATATGTGTGTGTTCTATGTGTCTTCTTCTTTACATTGTCTATCTCTTTGTTGGGCCCGACGCAGGAAAAGTGAAAGGCCATGGTTTGGGTTGGCGCCGAGCGGCAGCCCTTAAACTTTTTCCACCTGCCCGTCTGGGAACATGCACAAACTCTGGAACCTGAGCCCACACTAGGAGCACGGCGCCCTCCATCCACTGGATGTTGCTGGCACTTGCAGTGCCACTGGTGCCGGGTTGTCCTGCGGTGCTGCTCATGCATACTTTTGGACACAGCTTGCTTGGGAAGAGTCCTCTGTTGTCGCTTGTGAAAAAAGGCCGCCACCAAGCAGATCCTGGTGATGGAAACAGGCGCGCATGGCCCTCAGAACTGATAAAATAGCAAGACTCAAGGGCTCACCCCAACTGCTCGAGCATAGCTGCAACCACCTCCGATGCCTGCAAACTGGTTGCTTTTGACAAGCTGTATGCAGAACATGACTTGGACGAGCTGTATATGCAGTAGCATCGTGCTTGCTCGAAGGCAATTATCACTATTTCGAGCTGCCTGTGCCATGGGCGGCGCGAGGCGGGGGAAGAATTGCTGCTTGCACTCCCAGATGTGCAGCCTGCGGAGGGTGGCTGCTCACTCACTTTTGCATTAAAGTTTGAATCCAAGTCCCCGGTATGAGCACTGCGGGCATCATTTTTTGTGCTCCGGCCGCAGCTGAGTCAAGCTGTCCGGGCTCGCGCCGCCCAAGCGTAGCTCTGGTCGGCCTTGCGGGAGGTCTAGCAATTGGCTCTGACAAGCAAATAAATATGCACACTGTGGTGAATCTGAATGCGAGCGGTGTCCAATCAAAACACATTGCTGCATTGGGGCGATGCACTCCTGGCACTGGTCATGTGGGCCTGCTGGAATGGTTGAAGAAGTAATGAGCAAGCGTCGCAAGCCACCCGATTCCGAGCATGCCATGACATCCTGGGAGAGTGGCCGCAAAAGGCGAAAGGATGCATCTGCCCACAAGGCATGCGTCAGGAACACTAGCTGATGCCGCCCACAACTGATGATGCCAAGGTTTAAGGCTGCCGCAATATGTCAAGGAAGTCGCAAACGACCCATTGGACGCGGGCCTGCAACCCGATGACACTGCCGTGACCCAGTTGATCTCTTCAGCAATTGGACCCGGTTTGCTCAAAAGGCAACAAACCTTGCTATGTGCAGGCACAAACAGCGTCCCCTTTAGCATGGTGGGACCGTTCTGGGCGAAGTAGCCGAAACCAGAACTGGGACATTATCTGACACCAACACGCAAAGACTCGGAGTATGTGCAAACATCTGAGACGGCTTCCCTGATCTCTGTGTATTCAGAAGCTTGACAATTGATTCAATTCGTGCCACGTGAACAGCGATCAAAATGCCCTGTTCAATCTAGGAAGCAAGAACCTTTACGCCCGAGGTAATGGCACGAGCTTACGCACCGGGGTAGCTTGCACCATCGCTCACGCTGCGCTGACTCACATCCGTGCGCCACCACAAACGTACCTTACGGAGGGCCTTATGACCACACTGGTTTTGAACTCAAAGGCTTTTGTCGCTCAAAACGACATCGGAACAGGCAAGCAAACAGCCAGTCACCCATATCCCACTTGTGCGACGTGCGAAAATGGCAACTTCATGAAGCCCAAGCGCGAGAGGCGTTAAGGATGCGGCACCAAAGACTGGCAGCCCTTCAACGCATGTCGGTGAAAGACTTGAGCTCTCCTTTAACGGCGTCTGCCAAACAGCGGTTTGCAGCGTGCTTTGTTTCCACCGGATGCAGGCTGCCTTCTAGCCGCGCAGAAGGCGCAGGTTCGCTGATGCAGGGAGCATCTCAGTCAGCAGCAGCGCTCGTGGCTACGCTCGTGCGTGACGTCGCGCCTCAACCCCTAACCCTCATCCCTGAAACCTTGAGATTCCTCGGCAAGCTGCCAGGGTGAAGAGCGCGACGCAGCAAACGGAGCTGCATTTCTTTCGGAGGGTTCTTGGTGGTGCCTTCCCAGCTGCTCGCTGACGCAAGGCTGAGCTTGGAACATGGGATCTGGTGGAGCGCACAGCCTGGACAGACGAAGGTGACGTCCATGAGACTCGCCTTCTTGCCATCCAGCAACACAAGGTGGTTTGAATGGCTTGGTTCAGGCAGGAGCTTAGCTGCGTTACAATGCGTTTGGAGAAACCCATCTACAGAGAGAGGAACACGGATCTCTTTTCAGAAACTGCTGTCTGCATGCCTCTAGGAGGGGCACAGTTGAGGGAGACATCGCCCGCCAGGTCAGTCACGTGTTCGCTAGAACGCGGTGCGTCGGTGCGTCTGAAATAGAAAGAATTCCTTCAGCAACGAATGAGCAAAGTGGAGACGTAACATCATATCTGTCTGCGTGTGCAGGAGATTTGCTTCGACGAGGCCCTGACGAAGTTGCCCACGCTTCCTGTTGAGTCAGTTCTCTTGGTCTTGGCTTCCAGAAGTTTGAGCCCTCTGCCATCTCCATCTACATCCATGTCCCTCTGCAGCGGTGCCCTCAAACAGCCTTTCCCGGGCGAGCTTGCGGCGGAGATCTTGCAGTTCAGCATCAACAAACTGCTGGACATTGAATTGTCAGTCTTGGGTGCTTGGTTCGTTGTAGTGGCATGGTGGAGGAAGAGTCTGAGTGCAGAAACCTGCCAAACTGCTGCTTTTGGTTTGGGACTATGACCTGAATTCCAGAAGGATCTTTGGGTTGTGTGTCCACTGGCTCGGGTTGGAAAGGAAAGGTGGGTGCGCACTTGTGCCAAATGCGTGTGCTCGTATCCTGAATGAAGACAATATCGCAACTCCATCGCGAATCCTTTGCGGAGGTATCTCAATCAACACCGATGGTGGCCGAATACTAAACTCCTTACAAGGACCGATAGAACGACTCCCATATCTCTAAATGCTGGATTGACTCATAGATCGAATACTGGCAATATCTACTGGCAATGCGTAACGCTCCCCACGGCTTGTGCCTCCACACGCTCTCGGACCAAGGAATCCGGAAGAGGAGCCTGGCAGCAAAGCTCTTGGAGCAGCTTTCTTGAACAAAGAAACATGGCTGTGGGTCAGAACCAATGGTACCATTTTGGGGTAGGTGCACCACCCACTTTAGAACCTATTTTAGTGGGGATTGGGATGTTCACTGGGGGTACGGGCTTTTGACCCATAGCCACATGTCAGCCCAAGAATCTGAAGAGCTACCGGTTCTTTTAGCATGCTCCTTTAAGTCAAGCCGTTTGGAAGGCCATGGCAGTATGAGCGTCCAAGCTTGATCAACTCACAAAGAGCCTTATTACCCTGCTGGATTCGCCCGGCACATGTCCGCATTTCTAGGACTCTAGGAACCGCATGATACCCCCAAGTCAGGAGACTGCATCTCCATCGTAGCATGGTGGCATATAATGAGCAGCAGTCTAAACCCAGTTTGCGGCCAAAGAGAAATATCAAACTCCTTTCGCGAAGCTTATCGCAGAGCTGTCGCGGCGTGAGAGGTACCTTTCGTGCGAAGTTTTGATGAGTCTAGTGCTTTCGCATCGCTTTCGCGGATTGAGAAGTGTGGCGATATGCACGAAGTACACTTTGACAGCTCCTGCTTGAAGTACATGTGCAGTACACAAAGTACAGTTTGGCAGCTACCAGCTCGAAAATCACAACTGTCCAGCAGCTTCACTCGGAAAACGTGTGGATGTGAGGAAAGGCTTGCAAAAGCTATTTCCGTACAGAATGTTCCCATTTTGTTCTCGTTGTGCTATCCTTTTTGTTCAGCTACCAAGTCTGGCCAACAAGCGGTTTTCCCGGCAGACAAGGCTGCTTCCTACGATCGTTGTTGTTGAATCGAGTCCTGATCGTTTCGTTTTGCAGTAACGGCAAAAGAACAGCTTTGGACACAAGGGACGTCCGAAGACTTAACTTAAAACAACAGGGTCCTTATGCAACCTCAGATAGGGTATTACGTGTGTTTTCGACAATCGGACCCTGGAAAATCCTACTTCGTTTGCACACAGACTCTTTTGCAACCCTTGCCCGCGAAATAAAATGATCAACCCCTCTTGCGAACACTTTCGCGGCCTATCGCGGCCTAGGAAAACGCAACATGTTGATGACGATACTTCCTCACGAATACGATTTGCAAACGAATGGGTGTTAGAGCATCGCTCATGTGGAATGCCCTGTCGGTTTGGATGCATAAAGGAAGTCAAGCTGTGACGATCAACCCACAAAACTGTGCTTCCCGCACATCAAAATCAAGGCCAACTCTGTTTTCATTCACTGTAGTCTGGTTGTGGGTGACAGGTCTCAGAGCCACAGGCAAGGCTGAGCTACACCATTCATGAATCATGTGGCTCGGCATCTCCTGCCGGGGCGGCCCTGGCGTTCTGGTTGAGAGCTCTTTGGCATCAGTGCAGTCAAGGGACCGATGCCCCGTACTCTGCACGGTACTGGACATGTGCCACCACATCCTCTGCCTGCAATTCAAGTCCTTCACTTCACCAACAACGCCTTTGACATAGTGTCTGGCCTCATCCACGGAGACAAGCAGGTTTGCGACGCCGGCTCCTAGGGTACTGAAGCAAAGAGCGCATACATAAATGACAAATGGAAACTGAAGTCTGAGTCTACGACGCCAGGGTAGCCATCCCAGGAATTGCTTCTGAGCACATTTGCAACTGCCAAGGAATCCAGGCACCACAACGTTCAATTTAGTTTTAGTTGTTTAAGATTATGTTCCCCTGTCCATTATTTTAGGTATGCTACATGTTCAAAAAAAGTGACACCAGTTAAGCTGGACATCGCAGACTGGCAGCTTGCAAGCCTACGCCAAACCCTGTCAATTGCGTGTTTGGATCACCCGTCAGAATCCATTTGAACTCAGAATCCAAGCTTCGCTTCAAGATGGTATCAATGGTACACGGAAAGAGGAACTCGTGAGGCCAGCAAAACTGAAATGATTCCAAAGGCCTGTCACCACGCTATGCGTGGCAGGACAAATGGACAAAAACATTCGCAGAAAGAAATTATCACCTTAAAGATGCAGGCCGGCAACTGAGCTGCGTGCGGAAGCAGAACTGTCCTGGCAGATCGCTTCGTGCATTCCGATAGTGCCCTGGAAAGTCTCCAGCTACTGTGAGTCAACAAAAAGCTGAATGTGCGCTGCTGAATGTCCTCGTCAGCATGCAAGCATATGTCAACCATATCCTGGCGCTCCAAGTGACACTGTGGTGCAGGCTCCCCGTATGATGCTAGCTGCGAATTCATAGGCGCGGTGCTACTCGTTGATACCCACAATTGCTCAGCGCCGGAAGTGCATGGCCAGCCAAACAGCGTTGGTGTTCGAGGCTGTGCTCCCCCGAAGTCCCGGCCTTGCCCAGAGTCAAAGCGTACATGAAGCCGAAGGGCTGCATCATCAACATGCTGCGCAGGGCTCGTGAGGCCGCCTGTCTCAGCCGCGACAACGCGAATCAAACACATTGCAAAAAGGAGGGAACGCTTAGGTCAAACGCTTAGAACGTCTGCATGCGTGCAGTGCATTTTTCCTGAGAACGACAAGTCATTACTCTACTCCGTAGACCCGTAGAGACCTCACCATAGTCACGATCTCTAGCCAGGAAGTTGGCAAACAAACACGCCGGACGGGCAGGCAGCCGACCACGCAGAACATGAACAGAGGCGACATCCCTGGCAAGCGAGTGCTGGATCCTTCTTCCAAAACCACAGTCAGTGTTTTGTTTGCCTGTCCCCCGTCTTTTGTTCAAGAAGTGCAGGTCCAACCATTGCATGCACAAGCGAATTCTAAAGCCATAGCCCGGCGCCTGTATGGGATGCGCTTTCTGAAGAGGCACAACGGGATGGGCCCCAGCGACACCACAATTCCTTCTGGCGTGCACCAAAGGGCGCTCGTGGAAGCTGTACCTTGGGCGCCAGGGATGTGCGCCTGCGCAACCCAGTTTGCATGCGCCACCACGCTGAGCTCCCTACAAAGCATCACAAATGGAATCATTGAAGCTTGAGGAATCCAAAACCTGATGGATTCAACACGGGTAGCAGACAAAATCAGGTTCCGTCTGGCCTGGCAGCAAGCCACAAGAGCAAGCAGACCACAACGACCTGTGCAGCGTTGCAGCCCTTTCTCAAGCCACCAAGTCCTTCCAAGCGATCCGCCGACCCGCGAAGGTGAGGGCCTCGACAGTGGTTCTTCAACCCTCTTGTCCACTAAAATGGAACCCACCAAAGGGTCCCTTTTAAAGGAACATAGTCTTCCAGGACCCCTCAGTCAGGTTCCATGTAGTGGACAGGAGGGTATATCGAATTCAAAGCTGCGACAGTCCCGCCTGAAGATAGCTCTGGAGTGTCCCAGCCGGCCTGCTCCCTGCACAAGACAAAGCCACCAGCACTGGGAATCAATGGCAATCACTAGTGTCGTTGCGCCTGGCTCCTTTGTCCAGCTCCTTTGGCGCATTTCCTACGGCCCAAGCTGGCAAACTTGAAAAGCTTAGGGCCATTCCCGCCTCCATCCTCGCAGACAAACCCAGCTTCACCGGTTTCGCGGAGCCTTGGATGGGCTACACATTTCCCAGTTGACCACTGCGTAATTGAAGGCAACAAAGCAGGAAACAAACCAAAACACTCAGACTGCATGATCGAGCTTGTCAGAGCTCCTGCTTGATGCTGAGCACAAAGCTCCTGCTGTTCTGGAGCATGTCGCAAGGAGCTTGTCTCCTCTATCCATCCAGATGGCTGGACTTTTGCTGTGGAATGACAAGGCAAGCTCCAGTGCCTGCAAATGCGAGGATGTCCGTTCGGACAATCCAACAGGGATCTGTGCGCCATTGGACATTCCACAGCCAGGACCGCTGTAATCTGATGTAATCTGATGTGATGTGTTGTTGGCTGACACCGTGTGAACTTACATCAATCAATTCTGGACAAGACACAAGCAGCTTTATTCATGCGGAGAACAACACCTCGCAAGTGTTCAGGGCAGCAAAGGCCCGTCATGATGTCTGTGTGTGTGTGTGGGTGTGTGGGTGTGTGTGTGTGAGCTATCTGACTACATCTGCGTTGTCTGCTAGCATGTGATTGTCTGTATGCGCTCATGAATTTGGGTGTACAATATTTGCTAAACTTCCCAGCCAAAACGACAATCTCAGTTGTGGGGACAAGCTGTCAAGCTACTCAAAACAGCAGAGCGGAAGCACCCAGCGCAGCTCTGTCTCCAGCTGCAAGCGTGCCACCTGGTGTCAATCACTCGTTTTCCACACTTTGTGGTAGAAAATGCCTCACACGGGCATTCCGCCGTTCCATGTGCGACAACTCATGAGTTTTGCTTAGAGATATCTGCCACTGACTTGTGCTTGCCTTGTAATTTTCCAGCAATGCTCTGTATCCTGCCTCCGCATCATCAAAGCTTGGCGCGTCGAGGTCCAGCGACGAGACTCTGCCCACCACAACTGTACGCCATTGTTCGCCCTGCACGAAGCCAGCTGAGATTCGCAGCTATGCCAGGTGAGAATTACATCAGTGACTTTGTCGACAACGTGCTTCCAGATGCGCACGTGCCTCCAAAGAGAAGCAAGACTCAACCTCGCTATCAGCACTGTCCCTTTATTCTGATCCAGCAGTAAACCTGTTGGCAGTAGCGCTTGCCAGTCATTCGCAAAGGTCAACTCGTCTCATCGTCTGGACCTTTCGCTTTGATCACAGGGCCGGGCTGAGGGCTGGAAGTCGCAGCCAATCCCTTGCCCCTCTGGAGCTGCAAGGGGCAGCGACCTGACCGGCAGCGCCAGTGACGCTGCTGGTGCCGGTGGCATGCTGTGGATGTGGCAGAGCCTTGAGAAGGCGACTTTGAAGCGAAGTAGCTGTGATTTGGTTGCTGTCAAGTTCCGGTTCTCAAGAATTCGAGTCTCACTGTGCTACAAGAGCAGCTGCTGATGTTTGTACCTGTTCGGAAGTGCCCAGACTCTCTAGTCCATGATCCAAGCAAATCGTGCATGTCCAGCCATCCACAAACCTTGCCAAAGGGTGAGAAAACACAAAAGGACAGGCTCAGCCGTTGACAAGTTCATCGCGACGCTTGAGGTCTGTGGCCCACTGGGGACCACACACAAAGTCAAATCGATCTGCAGCAGCTAGCCTTAGCACTGCTTAGGATAGTCCGATTGGGCTCGACAACAGACCGGTGTAAAATGATTCTCCGTTCTAGCAGAGCAACTTTTATTGTGTTCAAGCCTCGCTCTTTTCAACAGACCAGTCGGGTTTCCTGGTTGTCGGCGGTTCTGGAAAAAAGACCCTGGAAGAACCAGAAAGAAACCCTGGAGTTTGCTCATGTCATACCTGGCCTCAAAATTGAGCTGGCATCATCCACCGCTGCCACATGTCGTCCAACCTCACTGTCAATGCTGTGCTTGAGACAAACAGCGTCACTTTGAGGATATCACTTTGCTCACTTCCAGTTGAGGGAACGGCCAAAAGATTGTCCGGATCGCCTCTTACTGGCATAGAGATCGAAGATAAGGAGTTGTATGCAAATCGCCTTGAGGGAGTGTTCGCAGTGAGGCGTAAAAGCCTTGGCTCTGCTTTGCAGCGTTTTTTTCGTTTTCCTTTTCGTAGATGGGAGTTTTTTCTGCTTGCTCTTGGCTCTCATGTTTGGTTTGCCTGTCTCAAGCCACGCTGACCATGAAAGGCTTCACAAGTCGCCGATGCGTGACGACACTGGGCGCTGCAAAGAATGGCTGTTACGGCTTTTTGGATTGCTTGCCGGGGCATGCAGCCAGCGGGCTGCTGTCCAAACCGACTGAGTGAAACAATGCACACGAGGACTTTTAGCAAGTACGTCTCGATCTGGCTCTCATTGCAAGACACTCCAACCGTTGAGTCCTCGCTTTTGCGAGGAACATCGCTTTTTGCTTGTGAAACGCTCCATATGGACAGATCGTCTGGGCTCATGGACTCACCTTGGGTACAGCGGTCGGTGTCACGGGTCGTACTTGAAGTACTCCACCCTTTCCTCTTTGTCAGACTCTTTCTTTGCCTTATGCGAAGCAGCAGTGAACCTTCTTTGAGGCCCCTGAAAGCATCGCCAAAACACACCAGTGTAAAGCAACAGCTTCAATGGATGTAGAGTGGAGTTTTGTGTGGTTGTCTGTGATTGCTCTCAAATTGCCACGTGAGCCAAGTATACAAAAGGAAGCTCGCGGCTGGCAAGACAAGCCCCGAGCCTGGGCAAGCCTCTTGTTCTCCTCCACCATTCGCATTCTGCGTTCCTTCAGGTTGCAGCCGTGCACACAACTTCGTGTGGGGAGAGACACAAAAAAATGCATGCTCTCCTGTTGCTGTCTGTACCGCTCATCTTCCAAGGCTCCCAGAACTGCCACCTGACAAGGCTGGGCTGCTCTTAATCTCTGCATCTCGTTGCTTCCTTGGTCTTGCGTCGAGTCACAGAGCAGCGCACTCTGGAGGCTTCTGCTGCCTGTCTTGTAGCATGTGCGAAATGTTCATGATTTTCACTGATTTGCCTACAACCGCAATATTCTGGTTTGGAGCCTCCTCCTCCTTGTCGGCTTTCTTCTTGATGAATTTGTCAATGAGAAGCCTTGCGTTGCTATTGTACACGTCCTGCAAGCAGGACTCTAAACTTGGCCCTTGATTCTGCTTTCAGCACCTGCTTCTCATTTGCATTGCAAGCTGGCCTGCTCTTCTTCCAGAGATAGTCGCTTATATTCTGCCTTCAGGAGCTTTCCGGTGACGCCCACCTTGGAATCTGTGCCTTCGCACATCCTGTCGGACGTCATGACCTCACGCGAAGCGACTGGACACTCATGAGGAACAGTAGATTTCAACTGGAATCCAGAAGGTTCAAGCGATTTGGGTGTGGGTCAAAATTAAACCACCAGGGGACCGCAGGTTTTGGTCCATGTTGCCACCTACCAGGCTTCAATTTTGGGTACCTATTTTTGACCCACAGCCATTTAAGTTCGACACTGACTCTATGTGCTTCTGCTTCAGGGCATTGTCTGCCGCTTTCTTTGCCTGTCAAATCTCCCATTTCCGCAACATGTCCCCCTTCAGCAAACCCTGGAGCCTGTCTCTGCTCCGCGGCAAGCTGGGCCAATCGAAGATTCCTCAGGGAGCTTCAGTTGCCACCACAGGATGGGATAATCAAAATGTCCGTGATGCATGGGATGACCATCAGGGAACCACCAAAAAAGATATGACTGTCCGCACCAAACGGGAAAAGCTCCCTATGGTCATTTGGGGGCCCTAAACAGAATATTGATCAACCCCCAGATCGACGCTGAATTTCCAAGCCAAGTTTCTCTGCAGCCTCTTCGCGCTTCGCATCCAGCTGTTCCTCGCAATCTGAGTTGCACAAGGACGACTTGGCCATGGGTCCCAATCCCCACTAACATAGACT